GCTACATAGCAAAAACCTTTAAATGGTTTTAGGCTTACACATATATAGTTTAGAATTATAAAAAATTATATGGTATTTATAATTTCACCAATAATTTGAGCATTTAAACTTATAAAATTAGAAATATAATAGTGATTGATACGCTTTATTTCTTTTATATCTATGCAAACTTAACTGATAACTTTTAAAAATATTGTTTACAAAAAAAATAAATTCATGTTTTAGTTTGAATGCAATTAATTAATAATACTGTAATACTGTAGTCAATAATAGTATTGAATAATAAATGACAATAAATTATAACAATAATAAGCAAAACATGAAAACAGGATATGCTAAATGTTATATGATTTAAATGCATAAATTTATTTTATTTAAAAATATAATACATTTCATACACTTTTTAGATTAATCAAACTTTATAAAAACTATTATTTAATAGACCCGCAAAATTTCATTTATTAAATTATATTAAATATTACAACATTAATACTATAATTAGCAATTAAACTGCAATTACTATTGTGTTTATCACTTTACTTTTCATTGTAGATATAAATCACTATAATATAGTGATAATCAGAATATTATTCTGATTATAACCCGGGTAACCAACTGCAATAACTTACGATTATTATATATTTTTGTATATAAAAATATTAGCTATTATTATAATAGCGATATTTTTATGTATTACCTATTGTAGTGCCGGTTTATACAGTACTCCATAACAAAGGCTACATTAATAATAATAAGATATCTATTTTTGTAAACTAATTGCATACATGGTGTGAAATATTTATTCAATGTCATTTCAATAGTTATCGTATTGATGAATAATACTTTTTTTAAAATATCTAAAAAATAATAACTGATATAATATTGTAATGTGTATTTGGATACACTTAAGTGCCCCCGAAAATGATGGTCAACACACGTGGTTGGAGTTATGGGCCACCCGTATAGCCACTGTATTGGGCCTGGTACTATTTATTAATGCATTCATAGCCGTGTGGTGGTGGACGTGTATAGCACCGGCACTTTTACAAATGTGAGTCATTGTAGTATTTATATTATTTGTGTAAAATGGGTATTACAAACATATGGTATAAAATTTTAATTTCTATTACTATTTAAGTATCATTAACAAATGCTAATGTTATAGCTATGGACATAGTTAACAAATGCTTATGAGCTAAATTAGATATAATTTTCTAGTATTATAGTCTATTTTATTTTTAATGTTAATTGTGAAAATATAATAGACACTGAGTATATTAAGTTGGAAATGGTCAATTTTGTAATTTTTATAAAATTATTTTTAATATACTACAAAAATATTTCATCAACAGTTAAATCATAATAGTTTTGAGATAATTAAACCATGTTATAGTACAGTAATTAGAAAACTGTAATTTATAAATGAAAAATTAAAAATATATAACATCTAGCATAAAAAATATATTAATTATTATAAGTTGAGGATAAATAATATTTTTAAAAATAGTTCACCCGTTGCTATCCATTTTTAAAATCTTAAATTATTTACATATTTCATAATTATCATCATAATATAAAACTGCAGTTCACTAAACATTATAATACAGTACAATAATTTTATCATTAATCAAATTGTATATAATTTTTAATTACTATATATAGATTGGCCTCGATCATCATCATATTCATAGAGGGGCCCACATTTGTGGCATTCCTATCATTTGCAGCACCACTCAGTCGGGCTTTACACGGGAAATCCTACTGGTATAAAGTGGTCATTTACGCTATAATAACAGTATTGCCACTTATAATCGGGCTCAGTTTGACCTGTTTTAGTATAGCATTTATTTTGGGCTTTTTCGAGTCCCTGGGTGTGGTCGGTATATATTTGTACCTGGCACTAGCGTACAGGGCTAATGCTAATAATACGGGTGTAGGTGCTGGTAGTATACCAGCAGCCACCGCACACAGTCAGCCATACCCTTACCCTAACCCCGGGTCACCACCGCCAGCGTATTCTTAAATGTACTAGATTAAATGTTTTTAAAATTGTAAAGGTAATTTTTAACATTGATGAATAATTGTTTAAAACATTCATGTTTGTATTAAAGTTTGTATAAATATTAATAAAAAAATATTACCTACTAATAAATAATAACATTTATTTATCATTGTATATTTTGTATGATTAGCAATATTTACATTTAAAAATATTCATGTTTTTCATAATACTTTATATTTTGATATTTAATTTTAATATTATTATATAAAAATAACCTATTTCTATTTAGCCATAGCTTATAGTGTAAAATATTTATTCATTTCGCTAAATTAATTTATTTGTTCAAAATAATAGCATTTGTTATAAATGATGAAATAATTATTACTAATATTATTAGTTTTTAATTAACATTAACAAAATACTTGTTTGACTACATTATTTACATTTTGAAACATTATAATTTGCATATAAGTTAAAGTTACCTTGAAATTAAAAATTAATCAATCTCAGTGGCATATATCATAATCATATAAAGTCGTACTATTTATTTATAATAAAATTAATAACCTTGAAACAAAGCACATAACATTTTTCTAACATATATTTCAAATCAATACTTTGGAAATGAATAAAACTGCTATTTTGTTTACTGATAAATATGTAAAATTATTACAAAATTATTAAAATATTATAAAATGAAATGAATTATTAAAATAATGCCAGAAGTGGTTCAACTGACGGATATTCAATGCATACATCGACCGACTGTACGGCGAAAATGGAAACAAACGCCGACTGAAAAACGTGTGAAACTAGCCCTCCGTTTGTTACTAATAATCATCAGTATATCCGGATTAGTACTCAACGCCATACAACTGACCGCTAAATACCGGCGCCGACAGACTCTGGTGAACGTACGGGTCGAACAAGAAGGGTACACTCATTTACCCGCGTTTACCATATGCTACCCCACCCTCATATCCATGGAGCGAATGGCACAGGTTTACCCTGATCTAAATACTAGCTACGTTAACTATATGAATATAGTCGAAAATAATGGCCGTGTTTATTTTTCAAACACGTCAATTTATTAACGATTTATTTTTGAACCACTACGGAAAATTTGTTGTAAATTGAACACGCTACATAACGTGCCCTACAGGGAGGTGCTCAATATAAGTATGCCATGCACCGGCATATCCATTAGGATGATCGGGCAACGTCAATTCAGCAATGGCACAATTACTGATGATATACTAGAATTAGAGGACCTAGCTCCTATCGAATCATTTCAAATATTACAAGGTAGAGAGGGTAAAAAATGTTGCACCTTGTTCAGTCACCTAACAGCTAAATGGCGAGATTATCATATGCATGTTCACGAGATTGAAATATATATTGAGTTTGATAACAGTGGTTCCCACCTGTCCCAGATAAGGATTATTATGATGATAGAAATAAGATACAATTCTCTATGCACTCGCCTAATATCATACCCCAACGTATGGGCCACCAGGCATTTATGGATGTTAAAATCGGACAAATGGTATGCTTGATGTAAAATGATTATTATTAATAACTTATTAAACTATTTTTTAAATCTAAATTTTAAAAGCATATGTCAATTGATAATATAAAAAGTACTTTTTGCCTATATTAAAGCAGAAGATTTTTAATACTCGTGCTAATAGTAATCCAATGCATGAACTCTGCTTACAATGAGGTTTTACAAATAGTTCAAAAGATCTAATCATATTATTAGGCCTCATATTACAAAATATAACTATAATTAAAAAATACCATAATATGTAGTTAGTTATAGTTATCCCTATCATACAATCGACATAAAACGATCCTGCTACCGGCACCGTACGATACCAACTGCCAAACTTATGACGTCACCGGTGTGGAGACCGCACATAAACTACGTGCCGATTGTCTAAGTAGTTGCGCGTACAAAATGTGGTCCCGGTGCCGTAACTGTACCACACACTCCCTGATCCTATGGCGCCTGGATTCACTACCGGGTGAACCTAACCCTCATATATGTAAATTCGGTGAACATTATTTTAGCGACGATGGTATCGTGGAGTTATCAGGGCCATATTACGTTGTGCCCGGTGACCATTGTTTTCGACGTACGAGTGGACAGTTTGACGATTATTGCCAACCCCTGTGTCCCGTCGATTGTGTTCAAAACTATTACAGTGTGGCGGTAGTCGATAGGGAACCGGGAAGGTCGGCCTGGTTTATGTCGGGAACCGGGAGGGTTTATATCGGCCTTACTCATAATCAATTGCCCGATCAGGTGACCCAGCACGTGGAGGAAATGACGTTTATAGACTTGCTAGCTAATATCGGTGGTATATTAGGTTTGTGGGTAGGGTGGTCAGTGTTGTCGGTGGTTAGTTTAGGGTTGTTTATATTGGTGAAGTTTTTGTAGTTTAATTTTTAAGACTATCAATATATAGTTAGCATAAGATTACTGTTGTAGAAAGTTAATAGGTAACTTTACATAATCTTTATTAAATTGTAATTCATATTTAAAAGATTATTTTTTATAATAATTTATTTTATATTGGTATTATATACATTATTATGTTTTTTATATTTGTAATTATGCTAAATTATCTAATTATAAAATTCTAGTATGTATTGATTATTAAATAATTTTCCTAAATATAAAAATTACATAAATTTTATTGACACTGTTTACTATTATATAATAAAATAAAAAAATAATTTTAAAATTTATATCATTAATTCTGTTTATGTAAATGATAATACCCTTAGCAACATAAATAACTTTAATAAATAAACTGCTATAATTAAAATTGGCATATTAAACGTCAATGTTAGGCGTGTTTGTCATTTGTATCATATTTCCGTTTTAATACACAATATGTTTTTATAACATAATGCTATAATATAAAAAACATTATACTATGTCGCTATTTACTTACAGTATTTAAGTGTTACGTATGTTTATTCATATGTATAGCAATTGTATCAATAGCTCACAATGTTCAAGGGCAATAAATAAAACTACATTTAAAAGTAATTAAATCACAAATTATTGCTATTTTGCGATGTGCTTGTGGATCCCATTAAGTGCCCCGGTCAATGATGGTCAACACACGTGGTTGGAGTTATGGGCCACCCGTATAGCCACTGTAATGGGCCTGGTACTATTTATTGATGGATTTCTCACGGTGTTTTGGTCGCACTGTATAGCATCGGCAATAATGCAAATGTAAGTTTGTTTTAGCGAGTTTAAATTAACTATTTTAATAATGATAACTTATTGATACTCATTTTACAGTTATAATGTAAACGTTGTTGTCAAAATTATATAATGTTAAAAATAATTATTATAAATACAGTAGTTAAATGTGCGCATACACTTTAAAAGCATGTAACATTTAGTGATTAATTTTAAAAACATGCTTAAATATAAAATATAATAAGTAATATAAAATGGGAAAATATAACCAGGTTAAATTAAAATCTCAATTTATATATTAGATTAGATAGGATAACCTATACAATTACAGTCTTAAACAATTATTTCTAAAAAATATTATTTTTTATTAACTATTAGGTTGGCCGCGCTTATTATCATAAGCATAGAGGGACCTACATTTGTGGACTTCCTATCATTTGCACTACCCGTTAGCCAGATCATTGGCCTGAAGTCTCTATGGCATAAAGTGGCACTGTATGCCATATTAACCTTGCTACCATTTGTCGTTGGACTCAGTTTTGGTTGCATTCACACGGCATTTATCGTAGGCTTTTTTGAGTCTCTATTTGTGACGGGTATATATTTGTACCTGGCACTATCACCCCAAATTAAAGGTACTAGTTCGGGTGTAGGCGCTGGTGATATTGATGTCATGTCACCCGCACCGCCACCATATCCCGGTGGCAATGATACCGGTGCTGGAAATGGTGGCATATCTGTAGTCACTTTTCCGAAGCCGTCATACCCTTATGGCTATACTACCCAACCAGGTGCCAATGCTAATGTATTCCTTACTGTTACAAAATGAACATCCTACAAAATAAAATTAACATTGTTATAATGGAACTTTTAATTGCAAGAATAAACAAAAATGAGCATGTATGAAATAAAATTAATAAAACTTTGAATAAGCCCTCACGTGTCGTAAATATTCAAAAAATTTCAATATTTTAGGTTGACAATCTCAATCTTAATATTTAATAGTAAACAATACAAACGCACATAGTTTTTGCCAATAATGATAGAGCACTATACGATGAAATTTTTATTATTTGTTTAAAAATATATAATTTCATATTAACAAGCACTTTTTTATATTGAACTAAATTTATATATAATGTATAATTCCAAACACAAGATGGGCATATGAGACTATATTACTTTTGGTTATAATGTTGAAAATTAAAAAAGCGGCATGCACAAAGTACGCACGCAAATTTTTGAACTAAAATTAACCCCCTCCCCATAGACGCCAATCGTAAATAAAAATTTAACATGGTGACATACGCGTTGGCATAACCCACCATTCCCCCGACGAGTGCGTACGTACTTTATGCACATTGTCTGAGTTTATGACATTTTATATATTAGCGAAATTACAAACTGTAAAAATGCTTGGTCATTTGAAAACTGTATTGTCAACTCACTATAAACGCGAAGTGCCAATATATCTTTAATATGCAAGTATATTAAGATATTATTAGTTTCTAAGAATTTAATAAAGGTCATCATTAATAACTTAATAATTGGATAAGTAAACTCATTTTATTCTCAATCTGGCCAAAAACTAGCCTATATTCATTATAACATATAGACTATAGGCTAGTGTTGGCCACATTGAGAATAAAACAAGTTTACCAATAATATTTATTAACCAGAAATGGATTTTCAAATTATTTTATTGTTTATTTGTTGCATAGTTTTAATTGCATTATACAGGTTATAATTAAAATCTAATTATAATTTAGATTTAAGTAAAATATATGTTACAAATCCTGTTAATTCCAGTTATTAAAATATTTAGATTTAGGTAGACCACCAGGTGCCCGATTTAAGATATGTCGTCAAAATGCGATCGCCATGTCCGGGCTGGTAGTTCAAAGCAAATTTCATGGATGCAATTGGATATCCATTTAATATTGAAAAATTTGCACCACGTGCGATTTAAATAAATTTGTCCATTACAAGTTATTTAATACTTTATGCCTTTTAATGATAGGTCTAATTGATATATAATATTAAAATTTTAAATGCAAATAAAATAAACTTAGAAATTGTAATATTAAAAATCTTAATATAAAACTTCATACTGAGGGCCGCTCACCAGGCGTCTCATATTTGAGTTATTTATAAGGGGTGTGGGACTGACTAATAATACATATCAGTAAAGCACTTTCAAAATCATTGGGAAGAAATATTCCCATAAACTTAAATATTGCCGGAAAGAAGATTGATTATGAGTATAGATAACAAGTTTAGAAAAGTTGTACTTAAGTAGCATATATAAACTTTCTGAACTCATATCTNCATAAACTTAAATATTGCCGGAAAGAAGATTGATTATGAGTATAGATAACAAGTTTAGAAAAGTTGTACTTAAGTAGCATATATAAACTTTCTGAACTCATATCTATACTCATAATCAATCTTCTTTCCGGCAATATTTAAGTTTATGGGAATATTTCTTCCCAATGATTTTGAAAGTGCTTTACTGATATTGTGTTCCGGCTTTTTCTGATAATTTCTGACCACATTGTTATGCAAATTGTTCCAGATAGTATGCATAAATTTATTTTTAAAAATTCTTGATACCATGAATTGCAAAAATAAATATAATTCAACCACTACATTTTCTTTATCTGTTACCAACGATGAACAGGCAACTTTATTAGTAAATTACAAAATCGAAATACACTTTTTGCATTTAAATGTTCAGTTCTTTCTAGTTCACAAAATAAATACATTAATTACAGTTTTGATATATGCAATATGGAGATTTATATTAAATATATTTATGATATTGTTGCAATTATTTTGCTCGTTTTAGTAATTACCTATTTGTATGTTGCACAAAATAATTATAAAATATTCCCATCATTAATATTTATTTTGTTAATCAGTTACGTCATCAGAAACTTCAATTACTGGACTAAACAAGGAATTCCGGGTCCGATGCCGTACATTGGTTTTGGGACAACATTTCGTCGACACAAATCATATATTGAAATAGACTGGCTCAAACGATATGGAAAGTTATACGGGTATTTTGAAATAAGCTACTATTAATATTATGAGTTTTTATTACTATATAAAAATCAAAAGTTGCAATATTTATATAATGTTAATTTCATAATTAAATATTACCCTGTTTTGTTTGATATAGTACGCATCTGATTTATAGTGCGCATAGAATTTAACAAACTTACAAATATATAAATGAATTACAAATACCTTTAAAATTACAAATTCATATTTGAAAAATCTAAACATAAGCTATACACAAGGTTTAAATTAGGTAAAATGCTTTAAAAAGCTTATGCGGGGTATAATGCGCCCTTACCTTTGTCAATAAATTCAGTTTTTCAAATAGTGAAGCGCATAATCTCAAATAAAAAAACATTGATCTAGTTCATAGATGTACAAGTGGGATATACCAGTATATATAATATATATCGTTTCTATATACCTACAGCATTACTAATTGTATAAGCTCAAAATTTTTGTACCTCTATGATTATAATTAGTAATAAATTAATTCAAAATTAAGAATTTCTACCCACTTTCCCACCCAACACGGTTTTTACGTACTTATTGTATGACCCATTAATATGAATACAGTATATTCGACGGCAACAAACCGGTGCTTACGGTGGCCGACCCGGCG